TAATAATATAAATCTCTGTACCCAGGGAAGACAAGCCTTTTTACTTTATTAAACAGAAGATTTTAGCTCCTCTCCTCTGGAGGAGGCTCTGGTTCTCAGATTTGTATGGCCAAATGCCCCATTAGAGTTTCCACAACAAAAGGGCTTAAAATGCAGATGCCAAAATGACTGCTAAAAAGGTTAACTTTTTTGGTTTCTGCTACACATAAGGACTTACAATGTCCAACAACAAGAAATACTCAATAAATTATTATTATTTTTTAAGTAAAAAAGAGTCAGTATCAGCTCTGCTTTAGAAAGATTGCCCTGTCAATGGGAAGTGGACCAGATGAGGTGGGACTGGAAGCGCAGGAGCACTGGGAACAGTAAGATCTTTGCGCAGTCCGGGAGTCCTGAGGGTTGAGCTGGCAGCTCAGTAAGTGTGGACTCCCCACAGTCTATCATGTATAGAAATCCAGATACTAGTGTTTTATTTAAACTTCTTATTGATGTGCTATACATATATATATATGTATATATATATGAAAATACACATGTCATAAGTGTACCATTTATTTGAGTTTTCAATGAATATGTATTTTTTAACTTATCTACAAGGTTTATGATTTTCCTTTTCTTCTCTCTGCAGATAATTTTTATGGTGGGACGAGGATACCTATCTCCAGATCTCAGTAAGGTACGGAGTAACTGTCCAAAAGCCATGAAGAGATTAATGGCAGAGTGCCTCAAAAAGAAAAGAGATGAAAGACCACTCTTTCCCCAAGTAAGAAAAATCTTCATTCTACCTAAAAGAACAGACTAACATTCAAAGGCAGATTTTTGAGCACTTTTTCAGGCACACAGTTTGTATTTCATGAGTTTGGATTCCATGTGCTGACTCCAAACAAGCAAACACATGAAGATGATTTTATAAAGGTTAAGCAGTGGTTCACCTAGAAATTTGGAGTCCTGATACAAAATGGTCAGAAAGACTTTGCATTTGTCTAGTAGTTCTCAAACTTTTTGGTCTCTGAACCCTTTTCTATTTAAAAATTATTAAAGACCCCTTCCAAAGAGCTTATGTTTATGTAAATAATAATTGCTATATTAGAAATTAAAACTATATTTTAAAAATATTTATGAATTTAAACATAATAATAAAGCTAACACTTAAGTAACATTTAGCTAAAACAATTATATTATCCAAAACAAAAAAAAATAGTGAAAAGAGTTGTATTAGTTTACATTTTTTACAAATCTCTTTGCAAAAAAGAAGACAACTGGATTCTCTGCTTTTGTACTTACTATGTTGCAATATGTCACATCATGTCACCTCTGAAAACTCCACATGTAAAACAATGACAATAAAAAGGATAAATAATATCTCATTGTTATATATGAAAATAGTTTTGACCTTGTAGATCCCATAGGCATCCACAGACCACACTTTGTGAACCACTGCTTTAATTCTTCTTAATGGTAAAATAAACAGATGCCAAGCTTCCCTTTAACTAGGTCTTTTTGAGGGGCATTTCCACCTGGGGCAAAAAGAAAAGGTAACTATCAGCTTTGTCAGCCTTTCTTTGATTCTTGATAACTTTCTTTGCCTTTTATCTTTTCATGTTGTTAGGCTACAGCCCTTAAGTTAATAAGCCCTACAAAGAACTGAAACTAAGTGCCTCAATAAGCTTAGAGTTTATATATAGTAGATATTGTAATATAAATGCAGTGTTTTCTGAAGCTTAGGAAGTTCTTGATAGCACTATATAAATATGCCTTGATAAATCAGTACAGTTTCAAGTGGGAAATACTGACTTCCATAGTTACTATCCCACCATAATTACTAAAGTGTTCTTTTTTGTGAACCCTTGTGCCTTTGAATATACAGTCCTACGTGAGTTACTTAGAAGTCACTACTACAGGAATGAGATTCATTCATCATTTATTTTTTATCTAAAAATAATTTTTATTCTTCTCTAAAGAATTAAAGAAGATAAAATTTATGGCTTTGGGTTGTTTGGGTTTTTTTTCATTTGTTTTGTTTTTTAATTTAAGAGACAGGGTCTTGCTCTGCTGCCCAGGTTGAGTGCAGTCGTGCAATCGTAGCTCACTGCAGCCTTGAACTCCTGGGCTCAAGTGATCCTCCCGTCTCAGCCTCCCAAATAGCTGGGACTACAGGCACTCCCCCCATGCCTGGCTAATTTATTTGTTTATTTGTAGAAATGGGGTCTTGCTATGTTACCTAGGCTGGTCTTGAACTCCTGGCCTCAAGCAATCCTCCTGCCTTGGCCTCCCAAAGTGCTGGGATTACAGGCATGAGCCACTGCACCCAGTCAAATTGATGTTTTTAACAAGTCTCTTGGGGTTGCCTCAGAGAGGAATAGAGAGGCTAAATGTTGAGTGGATAGATAAATTTTTACATATTGGAATTCTCAGTTACTATTCCTTTGAGGAAGAGTTTTTGTTTTTTGTTTTTTGCTCAGAAAACCTCTGGTTTGAGACTATCCCAGTGAAAGGCCAGTGTTGTTGACCATGTCAGCATGACCTTGTACAGTATTCTCTTTCCACATCCCAGTGCTAGGGTTTTTTTATTTGGCATGTTTGATTCACATTAATAATGCAAATTACATCCTTAGGCCCACTTTTTAAATGATATTTAAAGGAGCAAAATCTTCATGCTTCTAAATATAACATTTCATTAATTGCATGGTATCAAATAATGAAATGTATGTATGAATTTTTCAGATTATTTGAGGCTACCCCTTTTATGTACTATTGTTAAGTTTTCATTACAAGATATCGTTTCATACCATACTATTAAGGTGGCACATAAATTTTAAATGGCTAAAGATCTATATGTAAAAAACACAACTGTAAAATATGAAATTATTTTTATAGTCTTGAGGTAGGAAAGGCTTTCCTAAGGCAAGAGACAAAATCCAGAAGTTATGAAGGAAAAGATTAGCAGATATGACTACACTAACATTTCTTAACTTTTATGTAGTAAAAATAACACTGAGGCCGGGCGCAGTGGCTCACGCCTGTAATCCTAGCTCTCTGGGAGGCCGAGGCGAGCGGATCGTTTGAGCTCAGGAGTTCGAGACCAGCCTGAGCAAGAGCGAGACCCCGTCTCTACTAAAAATTGGACAACTAAAAATATATAGAAAAAATTAGCCGGGCATGGTGGCGCATGCCTGTAGTCCCAGCTAGTCGGGAGGCTGAGGCAGGAGGATCGCTTGAGCCCAGGAGTTTGAGGTTGCTGTGAGCTAGGCTGACGCCGCGGCACTCTAGCTCGGGCAAGACAGTGAGCCCCTGTCTCAAAGAAAAAAAAAAAAATAACACTGAAAGATGAAGAGAAAAATAATTGTAGCATATATAACAAAAAGTGAATATTTGTAGGATACAAAGGATTCCTACAAATCAAAAAGTAAAAGACAAGCAATAGAAAATGGGCAAAAAGGATATGAACAGATGACTCACAAAAGAAATACAAATGGTGAATGTACTTAGGAAACAGTGAAAAGATTTTACTAGCAAACAATAAAATGCAGAGTCATACACAGGGAAATACATTTTAATTTTGCCTCTCAGATTGGCCATATCCAGCACTGGAAACACCATTGGGAAGAGAGGAAGAGCATTCTTTTTAAATTTTTAAAGTGTTGGTGGGAATGTAAATTGTTCAGCCTTTTGGAAGGACTTGATCCATAAATTTAAAATACTGCGAAAAGTCTATTCTACAGAACCTACTTCCATAAGTATTCAGATATATATAAGAATGTTTACTATGATAGGAAAAATCAGAGACATAAAGACTAAGGTAGCTCTGTATAGATGGCATGGTTATTGGTGAGGGAAAAGGAAAACAATGCAGAAGAAATATACGTAGTGTGTTACCACTTTAAAAGGTGATGTGGGTGGTCTCTGTTTTCATATGTGCATAGAAAAGGTCCAGAAGAAAGTATAAACTCTAACAGTGGTTACCCCTGGAGGATGGAATTTAAGAGCCTTGTATGTCTTAGTTTCTATATTATTTGAATTTTTATTACATGCTATGCTTGCAATTTAAAAATTTTTGTAACATCGCTTACTTCTTTGTCTTATATTAATCGTTATAAAGATTATGGTTTAACTTAAAAGTTTTGGTAGCTCAGGGCAACAATAAAAGTAATAATAATGGCTGCTGAAGTTTTACTGAGTACTGTTTACCATAGGCCAGGCTTTATGCTGAGCCCTATAAACATATGTCAGGAATACGAACACGCATTATCATGCTATATGCCTTCAAGGGCCAAACATAACCTATTTCTTTGTACCTTAAAATATGTGAATTTTTATGTTTTGTATATTGGTGTCTATTTATACAGTTCTCCTGTCTCCAACTCTTGGGTTGTCACTTGTCATTTCTCGTGTGCCCCTACCAGTCTGAGTCAGTGGGGTTCTGCTTTTAATTAGGTGTATATAAGACATTCCCATTGCTAAGTTTCTTTAAAGGGTGGGTTGCTGATAGTTCTGTTTAAAGATGGTCATATAGTGCTTTATTTATACTCCATCTTCTTCCCAAAAGGGACTTGCAATCTGTGACAAATAGGTTATATAATTGGTTTTAAATTTTTATTATTTACTGTTTCAAAGCTGGCAAATGATCTAAAAATGCAAACAAAAGCTAAGTATAAGTTGCTTTTCCCATTCAGTTTATAGAGATAAAAACTGTAATAGTTTGGTAGTTTTCTTTTTAAGAAAATATCAGTTTCTTTGTAAATATTTTTCCAAGCATTTATGATAATACTGAAAACTGTGTAAGATTTCAGGTGCTTTCTTGTAAAGTATGATGGGACTTTCAAAGATTTACACCACCCAGATTTTCATTCTTTCTGTTTTTTCTTTTTCTTTCTTTTTTTTTTTTTTCTTTTTTTTCTTTTGTTTCTTTTTGTTTTTGTAGATTCTCGCCTCTATTGAGCTGCTGGCCCGCTCATTGCCAAAAATTCACCGCAGTGCATCAGAACCCTCCTTGAATCGGGCTGGTTTCCAAACAGAGGATTTTAGTCTATATGCTTGTGCTTCTCCAAAAACACCCATCCAGGCAGGGGGATATGGTGCGTTTCCTGTCCACTGAAACAAATTAAATGAGCAAGAGAATACAGGAGAGTAGCAACAAAAGGAAAAAAATGAACATATGTTTGCTTATATATTAAATTGAATAGGATATTCTTTTTTTTTAAGGTGAACCAGAGAACACTTGTGTGTTTAAGGACTAGATATAATTTTTTCCCAATCTAAAATTCATACTTAACATTGGATTTTCAACATTCAAGGGTTGAAATACACAAACATTGCTAAAAAGTGGCAGTGCCTCTTCTAGAGGCTTTACTTCCTGTTCCAAGTTTGTTTTGTTTACTTGGTTATTTTAATTATTAAACTTCAGTTTTCTCTTTCAGTTTTCTCATGCAACTTTTGTTATTAGCTGTCACACGTCTGTTAGGGACTCCAGAGGAAAAATACTCCTGTGTGTTTGTTTGCAGGTGGGAAGTTGGCCTGGGTTAGATAAGGCAAACTGAACAGATCTAATTTAGGAAGTGGCTAGAATTGTATAATCCTATTGTTATTCTCAATGTTTTTTCTTTAACTATTTCTTTTTACTACAATTTGGAAAATTTGGATATCCTTTATTTCCTTGAAGCAGTAGACTGAATTTCTTTTTATAAATTGTGGGTATGAGTGACCAAAGGTATTGCAGAGGAGTGGCACAATTGGCATGAGTAAAATGGTTTAACTTTGGGTTTTTAGTGGGCAAATGTTATAAATTGGAGTTCCTTTTAAATAATATTTCTTTATATATTAAGAATGTCTTCCATGTGCAGAAGTCAAATTTTCTTGAGAATGCATTTCTACCTTAACACACACACACACACACACACACACATAAAACAACTTCATAGAATTCTGTGAGAACTTTCAGGTTCGTTTGTTTCTCTGTTAGATAACTCTGGTTACTAAACAACCAGGTAATAGATTTTTCAAAAGTTGTTATTATTTTACTTACCTGTCATGATGCATATTTTAGCAATCATTTTATCATTGTATCTCATAAAATTTCTGTCCTCCTGTTATTCTTTGCTGAGCGAGATTCTGCTTATGATGAATGAATGCTGCTCTCTGTTTTGTATTCCATAGTATGAAGTATTTGTTAGCACTCTCTAACGCTTACACTCTGCTGTGTAGAAAATGACTGTAATGTGGCAGTCATTGTATTCTTACCGTGATTCAAAGAGATCAAAAGTGAAAGCACAGCATTGTTGAGGTCCTAACAAAGATGCTGCCATCTCTACTTAATAGTCAGCCTAGGAACCAAACCCGGCCTCTTAACTACATCTTCACTTACTCAATTTGGATTTGTCATGATTTTTAAATACAGCGACAGTTCTTTTTCCAGCAAGCAGGCAGCATCTGCATAAATGCCATCCTTCTTTGAAGACAATAAAGAAGAAAATTGGGAAGACTTTTAAATTAGTTTTTAAATACCACAAATAAATTTTTGAAACATTTTCTTTATTTCAATAGTTAGATTTCATCCAGGCAAACCACTTAGTAATAATTATGGCAAACCTTTGGCCTCTCATTTAGGGAGCTTAAGATAAGTAATGACATTGTGATTTTAGAAATAAATTGATGACTTTCAATTTAGGTAAGATAGTGAAAAAGAACATTTCTCATATTTTAAAAAATGAGAATAAGAAAGGGATAAAAGAATGTAACGTATTGGAATGTATCAAAATGCATGATTTCTGAATCCTCCAGTGATGTTAAAGATATGATTATAAGTAATTGTTAGATGAGGTTTTATTTATTCACAAATAAAATAGCAGGCATGTAGCTGACAAAGTTTTTACAAAATTGACTATATCAAATGCTCAGAGTTTGGGCATTTTGAAGTACAAAGGTTAAAGGATCATTTCAGTGATAGAGCTTTTTCTATAATTTCCCAGTATACCTGCCTCACTTTTATCTTCCTTTCATTGTTCACTCATTTTCCCCCCAAAATGCTGTCCTGCCTACTCCCCCACTATCTGCAGTTGACTCCTTTCCTTTCTTTCTTTGTCTCCTTTGCCAGAGGGCATGGCTAAACTCTGTAGAACTGCTCAGAAACTCATGGTGCTATCCATAGATACTAGAACTTGCCTCCAAAGGATCACATAGTAATTCTACTGTCCCTTCCAAGTTGGGCCCAGGTGGAAATGTTATTGGATGAGCATTGAAAATATGACATGTCGGCTGGGCGTGTTGGCTCACACCTCTAATCCTAGCACTTTGGGAGGCTGAGGTGGGAGGATCGCTTGAGCCCAGAAGTTTGAGACCAACCTGGGCAACATAGTGAGATCCTGTCTCTACAAAAAATTTCAAAATTAGCCAGGCATGTTGACAGGCACCTGTTCCCCCAGCTAGTCAGGAGGCTGAAGCAAGAGGATCACTTGAGCTCAGAGTTGGAGACTGCAGTGAGCTTATGATCAAGCCACCGCACTCCAGCCTCGGTGACAGAGCAAGACCCCATCTCTAAATATATATTTTTAAAAAAAGAAAAAAAAAAGTGACAGGTGACACATTTAGATAGCATGGATCCAGAGAAATAGGAAGCAGTAGAATTAAATCAGTTTCCCTTCTGTTTTTTTTTTTGTCGTTGATTGTTTTATACTGAGTTTAAAATAAAGAAAAATATTTTTAAAAACCATATGTACAGTTAATCTCTTAGACTAGGTAATTGCAACAGAAAGACATTTATTCTCTTGTGACTGCTTCTTTCCTAAAACCTAAACCCTTATATATTTTTTTTATTCAAGTTGATTTACTTCTTCAGGAGGCAACCTATTTATAAAATTTGTTTTACATTTTAAGTTTTACTAGTCAGTCATGAGGAATAAGATTTGTCTTCTTGAATTTTAAATAGTTTAGGGATCACAGGATTCTATCAAATGCTTTAGGTTTGTTTATTTTCAGGTATTATACTAGCCATTTAAATCATCCTCTCTAAATCAGTGGCTGTTTAACACACCCGCTTAAATGGTCTTTCTCTCAAGTGGGTCGCTCTCAATTTAAGGAAATTATCTGCTTTTTTTTTTCATATTATGAAGTGAGTACTTCATGACTAAAACATTTCATCAGTTATAGTCTTATTCGATTGAGAATTATTGAACATTTCGATAGCACTTTTTATTTTATTAAATATCTTATCTCTCCTGTGACTGTTTCTCAAAAAATTTAAGAAACCTAGTGTATGTATGCCAAAATGTTTCTCATTCTTTTGAAACTGCCTGAAAGGTCATCACAAAGTCAGAAAGGCACTTACTCTGGTTTGAGTTGACTATCCCCTCATATCTGAAGCAGTGACTGATTTGTGTAAGAAGTAACCTATTAGATTTTTCATAACATATTTTATCTTTGAGGAAGTTTATCAAATTATATGTATAATGATCATTGAAATACATTCCAATCCAACATAAAGAGTGATTCATAATATTTTTAAACTAGTTAATAAGTCCTTAGCTTTCAAATAAACCATGATATTTGACGTGTCCAAAATCAGTCTTGTTTTTGAAAGTCTTCCCAAGTGTCCTCTGCCCTATTCCTAAATAAAGTCAAATGGAAAATAGAGTTGAGGTTATCCTCAACCAGAAATGAGGGGAAAGAAAATATTTCATTTTGGCCTCTAATTGATTTTTCTGTTAATTAAGTTAATAAACCCAGTTTTTTTTTGGAAGTCACAAAGAATATCTAGGTGTTCATTTCAAATAACTTCACACAAGCAGAGTTGGCTCTTACATCAAATAAAATAGGGTAGGAGGTGGAATAGTGGAGATTTCCAGATATGCAAGAAGGAATAACTAAGAAAAAAAATTTTTTTTTCCAAAAGCAAATTTATCACCTGTTTTACTCCCATCTTTTCCTTGAAATTCTCTGTGATTTCAGGGACATTTATAAAAAGAGTTTTATTTTATTGATTCCTAAACTATGAATTCTTTTTTATCTTTTTTTTTCCCCTGGACCCCAAGTGTGATTATGGAAAGAACTGCATTCTCTCAGAAGCAGTGGACTTGGTAGAATGGTCTTTAATGTTTGCTTTAATTTGTATTTGGTTTGGAGTTTGTTGGTAAAATTTTGAACTTTGTGAGGTTTTTTTGTTGTTGTTGTTACTTTTAAGGCTAATATAAGTTCTTAGAGTGTAACACTGTTCAACAAAATGAAGTGTCTAATTGTTATGAATAGGAAACATCTGAAGTTTTTTAAAGTATTTTTTAATGTGTTATATAATAAGATTTGGCTTAGATATCATCATATTCTAATATTTCCTCACTTAACAGATGAAATTTAGCCATTTTTATAAAGATTTCTGTTATGCCTTATTTCACATTGGCTTCCTTTAATGAAATTTAGATTCTGCTATATAGTGACTGCTCATAAGAATGTTGCAAATCACTTTAATGAAATATATTAAAATACTGAAAATAGCAACCTTAATACCATAATGTACCCAAACTATAAGCAATGATAGTGAGAATGTTTGTATATTTCTAGAGTCTCTGTCAACATAATAGCCTCCCATAATTATGCTTTAAATGTTTTACTCTCCAAGATGTAATTTAATTTTGCTTTTTTTTTCTTTTTGATCAGTGCCAAACTCCCCAATCCTTTTAACTTTAAATATGAGGAAATTCTTTTACCCTTCCTTGATCTTTTGACTCAAAATACCTTAGTTAATTGTTTGTTAAAAGGAATCCTTGGCAGGCTGGCTCACGCCTGTAATCCTAGCACTCTGAGAGGCCGAGGCGGGAGGATCACTTGAGCTCAAGAGGTCGAGACCAGCCTGAGCAAGAGCGAGACCCCGTCTCTACTAAAAAAATAGAAAGAAATTAGCTGGACAACTAAAAATATGGAGGCTGAGGTGGGAGGATCGCTTGAGCCCAGGAGTTTGAGGTTGCTGTGAGCTAGGATGACGCCACGGCACTCTAGCCCGGGCAACAGAGTGAGACAGAGTCTCACTATATTTTAAAAATAAAAAATAAAAAAATAAAAGGAATCCTTGCATGGAAGGAGATAGTATGACTATCTGCAGTCCAATTAGTAGTTGTATTCAGAGTGGGAAAATAAATTATTAATTATTGACAGT